CCAGACACCTTTGATCACTGTTAACTGGACCCTATAGATAATTTCAAGTCTTGTCCTCAATCAAGTTATTTACTAGCACTTTTTAAAAGCAAGGAGATTAACGATATTTTCTTCTCATCTTATAATGATCCAGAATAAGGAGCTGGCAAAGTGGGAGAACAGCAAATGACGGGGGGGGGGGGGTGGCGGCGGCGGCTGTGGTGGTGGTGGTAATCCTGCATCTGATAACTGGAACTGGCTAGATTTACTGCTGCGACTTTCTTGATGGTTCACATGCCAACAGTACAGACAGAACTGCTGTCTCCTAGGTCCTCTCTGCTCTGTTATCGCAGGTTAATTCCCATTATAATAAATGTCAAGGGACTAGTGAACATGTATTTACCTTATGAGAAAGGTTTGAACACTGCTTTCAATATTCTGGTGGCTGCTGAAGATTCCTTTCTTGCTCAGAAAAAGTTCTAGTGCATTGAACAGAGGCCACTCAGTCCCCACCCAGGGTTCACAGGGGTCTTTTTTTCTCTTATATTGTATCATGTTTTGCCCATGTCATCTTTTAAGTTCTCTCCAGCATCGAAAGTGTCAGGCAGATGTTAGCTACTCCATTCTCTGCACTGTCTGTACATGTCTAGCCTTAGAGCATTACCCAGGTTTCCTAAGTGCTATGGTCTGGATTTACTATGTTCCCTAAAAACTCATGTGGAAGGCTTGGTCCTCACCAAGGCTGTGCTCGAGTGGGACCTTTGGGATGTGACTGGATACCGACAGCTCTAATTTCATGAATGGATTAATCCATGTACAGACTCATAGCTTTGTGGGAGTTGAAAGAGGGACACTGTTATAAAGTGAGTACCCCCTCAGTCCTGGCAGCTTTCCAGTGTCACCCTCGCCCTGCCGCAAGGTGCTGCCCAGTCACAGGCCCAAAAAGCATATGAGCCAAGTGACCACAGAACTGTGGGCTAACATAAACCATTTCTCCTTTACATCGACTCTCTTGGGTTATCTTATTACAGTGTGAGATGGTACCTGGCACATCAATCTCCATATTTCAGTAACCGAATGACTGCATCAACACACTTATTTTCTTCTGTACTTTATTATTTTTTTTAAAGACATAGTCTTCTTTTTTCCTATTTACCTTGTTTATTTCTCTTGGCTTGGAAATACAGTGACTTATCAAGTCCTGGGCATTCCTTCTCCTGTGACGCTGTATCGTTTCCTCCTACACTAGAGATTCTTTATTATCACCTCCAAAGCTCCTGGAAAATTCCTCAGATGTTTCCTTCCATTTGTGCCACAGGTCACAAATGTTTCTGTGACCCCCTGAACAGCTCTTATTTGCCCGTCCTCGGCACATCTTCCTCCTCCTCTGACGCCCCCTTTGCCCGTGAAATGACTTTTGGGAACTCCATGTGCTCCACAAGCAAACACTCTGGACAAAGGAGCACCACTGGACACATTCCCAGCTCTGCTCTGGCACAGGTGGCAGTACTGGGCTTTGTTATTTCTACATTTCTATCACCAACGTCACAGCACCACTTACACCTCCTAGTTTATTCTCCAAAACTGCCATCTACCTCACACTGAAGATTCTCCATGCCAAAGAATTAGCACCTAGGCAGCTATCACTAGGTACTTAATGCCATTTTCAAGACATTCAAGATATGAAGGCAATACACGCTTTAAGAATTATAAGCCAGAAATTATCTGTCATTCAAATATATTTTAGTGATCATTTTCCTACTGTTTCAAAAAATGTCTTTTTGTCATTCTACAGTCTTATTTTTTTCTAATGTCCCTATTGATTCTTGTTCAGTTCTTATTACAACAGACCCCTTTCAGTGTCTGCCAATAGTGAGCTGATAACGGGAGCGAGCTTTATAGAAAGCAGTGGAACCCAGACTAATGGATTGCTTAAGGGAAGAAGACTCGATGCACTTTCCTAACTTTCATCTATTCCAGGTGAGCCTTTCAGTGATTTCAATGATGAGTCCTGCAGTAGAAGTAAACCATTTTATAATAAACTCAGAGTGAGAAGTCAAAGTCAGAAACTAACCAGTAGAAAGAATAAGAAATGCATTTCTGTACAAAACCCTCATCCTACAAATCAATTTTGCAAATGACAGTGAGCCTAAATGTACTAGAGCTGTTTTGAAAAACGAAACGTTTCTAAGCTTTATTCCCAGAGATTCGAGTTCCGGAGACTTGGAATATTGTGTTGGACCTTTGGTTTTGGTAAGCACCCTTGTGTTCCTACTATGGGAGGTGTGTGTGTATGTGTATGTGTGTGTGTGTGTGTGTGTGTGTGTGTGTGTGTGTGTGTGTGTGTATGTGTGTGTGTTGTGTAGTATCATCATGATACTACACCCTTGTGGTCCTACTATGGGAGGTGAATGTGCAGTATCCCCATGATGACCGCCATTACAAAGGGGTCACATTCTTAACTTTTCCTGGAAACACTACCAAGTCTTTCATGGCATTTTCAAACAAGCAGAAATTTTAAGGAGACAATAATAAAATCTACACACCAATCAAGGTCCAAAAGAAAAAGCCAGTGAAATGTGACCTTTTAATGAGACAGTGAAATTTAGAGAGAGGGAGAGCCGGAGGGGGGTTTGGGGGGAAGAAGCAACAAAGAGTCTGGGAAAAGGGGTTTATGCATAAGAGCAGCCAGCCCTGACTCTGCTCAGAGGATGGCCTAGCGGGAAACAGGAAGTCAAACAGCTCCAACACGCTGATGGAAATATTCCTGTACACCCTGCAGTAGTTCAAATTAGAAACTTTTGATGAACAAAAAACTGACTTATGAAAAGTTTCCCATCTTAATCTTCAATGCCTGACAAGTCTTAAAATTCCACAGTGTTTTTATATCATAAATTACTCTATATCATATTCTTCTTATGTATCATAAATTACATTATGAATATACTATTCACATTATGTAATAGAGTGTGAGGTTTTTATGATCTGGGCGGATGTATAAAACACGTGAATAGGGACGCTCTCCTAAGAACAAAACCTCCAGTGTCGGGATTTACATAAATCTGTGACTGTGCTCATCAGCTTGATCCTCATTCTAGAAGGATCTCACTCTACCAGTATGGCATGTACTTGCCTGTAAAGATTATTTAAAAAGTCATTAAACTTAGGAAATTTTCAATAATGCAAATAAGGGAAAAGCGATGTCTCATTTTAATTTGCATCTAATCACTAGATTTAGCAACTTGTTTAATATTATTAGCTAATTATACTCCAGCTTTGTGATATGCTCATGGAATCTTCTTGTCATTCAGGAAACACACACTTTTTTTGTTGTTGATCACGTTCTATCTCTTTGAACTTGTGATCCTCCTGCCTCCGCCTCAAGGCTGGGATTTACAAACGTGCCACCAAGCCTAGTAGACACGGACATCCCATCTTTAGGAAATAAGGAAAAGTTGGCAACCACAGCAAGCAACTGATTTGTTATTCACTTTCAAAACCATCAAATGGTTAACTTTAGTGTGGCCTTTGAACACTGGAAACAATTTTAAATGAATAATTAAGTCTGGAACTTTAAATGATTAAGTGGTGAGTGCAACAAAACTTGATTACATTGCATTTCACATCTGTGTACAGGCAAGGAACAGGTCACCTGTCAAAGTCATTTTAATTTCTGAGCTGTGATGACAAAAACAGGCCTACTGGAGCCAGAGTGATGTGTCAGATCAAATTTCAGCTTACAATCTATCTTCCAGGCATTTCTTCTTCATAGGAGCCACTTCAGTGTGGGTCACCAGTTCACGCAACATCCCGCCCCCCACCCCCCAACACTGTCACCACGCCACATCAGAGAATTCAAAGGAACTTACTTCGAATCTGTTTTTTAATTTCCTTAGCAGGGTCCAACCAATTCTGAAAAAGAAACGACAGTATGAATTTGAATAAAAGAAGAGTAAAATCTAATCTGATGATTGGACACAGACAAGTCCTCTATGTACCAGGAAGGAACAGTCATGGGATGGGCCCTCTCCACTATGGCTCTTCCCACACATCTGGTGGCCTCCTGTCAAGCTTTGTGAGGGCACAAATACTAAATAAGAAGACACATGCATTTACAATTAATGCCTGCTAAAATTCTTCTCCGGGGAAAAGTCAGATGTTTAATGATGAAGTCTGACATTGCCTATCACTTCAGTAGGAATATTCTTGACTTGTGTACAATAAAAATAAGTGGTCTATATGAACATACTTTCACACCTTACGTTTTAGCATCTGCAAATGGAAACAATTCCCTTCTTTTGTGCTTAGCTGTGGGATAAAGCCCTGAACAGGTGCCGTTAGCCTGGTGCAAACATCTAGTAATGTTGACTTAAGCATTGACATTGACTAGCATACTGGACAGCAGATGTTATCCTCATACCTAATTGTTTATGCCCCAGCTGTAATTTCTTCACAGAATTTGGGGGTATGAGTAAGTTTTCCATATAGGAATTGAAATATTTGGTTCTCATGGGCTCAAGAAATTGGTTTAACTATGAGAAAAAGCCCTGTATCAAATGTTTCCTTGGCACTAAATCTCAAGGATGAAAACTGAGACTGACCTACTGTCTCAAAAACATTCAATGATATAGGAAGCTGCCAAGGTTTTCTTCATGAGGGGGAAGGGAGATTAACCACATTTAGGGGCCCAAAGGTGTGTAAGCATGGGGCACGGGGTATACAGAGAGAACGCAATGTGTCTGTTTATTTTCTGGTCACTTCTGTACAGTAATACACAATCACCTTCTGATTCTCAGCGTCTCGGTACGTCAGACCAAAGTAATCTTTTTCGAGCAGGTTCAGATGCTCACACACTTTGTCAAACAGCACTTGTCCTCGGGAGCGCTTCTGTGCAAGACAGGACAGGAAAGCAAGTCAGCAAACCCAGGAGACCGAAATGAAACAGGGCAAAGTGTAGAATGTGGATGGCTGAAACTGGTCACTGAGTGATGGACACAGCGGGGCATGTCTGTAACCCCAGTTGGGGGTCAGATGGAGACAAGGGGATTCCTTGAGCTCTCCATCTGGCAAGCCTAGCCAATCAATGACTTTCAGGTTCTGGGGGAGATGCTGTACAATGGCTCATACTAATCACCATGCAGATAGGATTGAGATCCACCTAGGGCACGAGCTTCTGGTCATTCCCGTGAGGATTTACTGAGATCAAATGGGCCTCTGAGCACACCTGTGAAGGACTGCATGCATTGCAGTCATTGAGGCTGGGGGTTCTAACCTCGGAGTGAAAAGGAAAAGGAAAAGTGACTTTGGCATGAGCATTTGCCACTCTCGGCTTTCCAAGTGTGGATACAAAGCAACCAGCTTCTTTGAGCTCTGGATGCCATGATTTCTCCACCACAATAACCTGTACCCTCAAACTGGGAGCCAAAATGAGTCTCTCTTCCCTTTAAGCTGTCTTTGTCACACAAATGAGACAAATAACTAATATTCCCTGTACCAGAACATAATAAGGTACAAAGCTATGAAGATAGTTGAGGTAGATTTCTGGCCTTGACACCCAGAGCCATGCCTATGTACCTCCACATATGAATGAACACA